CCTGCAGCTGTGTTATAAATCTGGGAGAAGTTACACTTTAATTCATAGCAGCAGATTTTATTGTTGTGTGTTGGACAAGTCTGACATCTACAACAGTTCTGACAGGCTTGCTATTTGCATGAGCAAATGACTGAAAAGAAATCCATCTGGGGCCGGATGAACAAATAGGGAAATATATAGCTCTCTTCCCCTCATTATTGACAATATGATTCATCAGCCTGCATCAAATATTAAGCAAATTCAACAGTGAAAATGGAAAGACCGAGGTCAAATAATACACCTGGAAGATGCTAATTATTCACAGGATAGATGAGACACGATTTCCAGTTAATGTGATCAGCAGGGAATCAATGCTCTGCGGAGACATGGTCAACTTGCAGAGATCACATTTTTTTAAACACATGCTGGGAACATGTAATGATTCTTACCAGAAAAAAAATATTGTCCAAACCCAGGCAAATTGGTGAAATACAATAAGTACCGATTAATCTGTGCTAAAATATATATCTTACTTAACACCTAATTATAAGAAGCTCTATCTCACTGATTGAAATAACAAAGAAAAAAATATATTTAAGGTGCATCTAAACTCAAGAAAAAAGTAAAATATTGCAGCTTATCAGCCCTTAGATGTGGTGGCTGCTCTAGTTTTCTTTGGTATCGAGATTTTTGTCTTTATCTTCACCCAGTGGGTGATCCTGCCAGTAACACAGTTCCTACCCCTCTGCCAATCCCTCCACTGGCTTCCGATTGCCCAACGGATAAAATTCAAACCGCTAACATTGACGTACAAAGCTGTTCATAACACTGCCCCAAACTACATCACCGAACCTTGTCTCCAAATACCACCCAAAACGTACTCTCTGCTCCTCACAAGACCTCCTACTCTCTAGCTCCCTGGTCACCTCTTCCCATGCCCGTCTCCAGGACTTCTCCAGGGCTTCCCCCATCCTCTGGAACTAGCTACCCCAATCCATCAGACTATCACCTACTCTCCTCTCCTTTAGGCGCACCCTGTGTCAGGGATCCCGGGCTCTCGGCGGGGCGCGCATGCGCAGAGTGCCAATCCGTCCAAGCCGGCGAGCACAGAGTCCTCGGCGATCGCGGCGGCAGCCGTGCATGCGCACTAGCGATCGCGGCCGCACCAATGGAAGAACAGGGCGCTCTATTTAAAACTGCCCTGTGCATATCCAAGTTGCCGCAAGGTCCTGTTCCTGTAAGTACGTTTCCTTGTTGCCAAACTCTGCCTGTTCTGATTTACGCTGACCCTCTCCTGCTCTGACCCCGGTTCGTTCCTGACCATCCTTCTGCCTGATCCTCGGTACCGCGCTGCCCGCTACCTGCTGAACCTGGCTTGTGACCCGACCATTCTCCGCTTGCTCCCCCTGTACCACGCTGCCCGCACGATACCGACCCGGCTAGTCTGACCTCGCTCACTCCTAGCAGTCACCCATCCATCCCGCTCGGATCGGGATCTGTCATCCGTCCATCCCGCTCGGATCGGGATCTGTCATCCCATCCATCCCGCTCGGATCGGACCTGTCATCCCCTTCACAGCAGGCTCATCCCGGGCACATACCCTCAGCGGGACCCCTCTGCCACCGCCGGGGGTGCCCAGGGGCGCGACCTGGTTCCAGTCTTGCACCAAGTTCATCCCCACCCTCAGGGGCCCTGGTGAAAAGGCAGACTGGGACTTAGACTCCGCGTCCTGGGAAACCCCGTGCCGTGGACCACTAGAAATCCCGTTGGGCGGAGCCTGACGCCCTGAAAACCCATCTCTTCAGGGAAGCCTACCCCGCCCTCAGCTAATTGCCGATCTCCTCCACTCTTCCTACCACTCCACCCTCCACAGCTATCTCCTCCTGTACCACTATCCCCTCCCTCCTAGATTGTAAGCTACAAGGAGCAGGGCCCTCGAACCACTCGTGTATCGAATTGTATTGTTACTGTACTGTCTCGTGTACTGTCTCCCATTGTAATGTACAGCGCTGAGCAAACTGTTGGCGCTATATAAATACTGTATAATAATAATAATAACTATGAAGATTCAATCACCCAGATCATATTGAAAGTGAACTTTCCATACATTTCTGTAGTATCTCACTAATGAAGAAGTTTCTTCCATCAAAAGATTCGTAACTACCGGTTTTCTAGCCACACACATACCTACCATGATTCAGCTAAGTGAATACGCAGGACTTTTTGTTTTTTTTGTTTTTATAATTTTTTTGATTGACTGTGTGTTCACCATGTCTTATGCCCACCTTTCAGAGGATCATTGTGATCATAATAAAGATACTGTTTTGCATCCATTTTGATGTATTAGTGTACTCTGCTTTGGATTTAAATACCACTCTTTTTGCAATTTGCTCTAGTAAACTGCTTGCTTTTTCTGAAGTTCAGCTTTAAGCCTTTGTCCCCTGCTCCCCATTAAGGATTGGTACCTTTAGGGAGCAGGTACCTGAATTTGACAGGTACCCACTCCCACTTCTGCTGCGATCATCTAGGTTGTCCTCCCCTCCCTCCCCGTAGTCTTCTGGGACATTTGACAGGTCCCAGAAGACTATGGGACCATTCACAAAGCGCAGTGCTTCTCGCACATGTGCAGTGGGCACTCAGCTGTGAAGCTGCAAGCTGTCACAGCCGGGTGCCCACACTGAAGATGCAGGCACCAGGGAGAGAAGATGAAAGCTATTGAAACCAGCGGTGGTGAGGACACCGCTGGACCAAGGGACAGGTAAGTGGCTGTATTTTAAAAGTCAGCAGCTACAGTTTTTGTAGCTGCTGACTTTTTTTTTTCAGGGGGAACTCTGCTTTAAATACCTCAATTCAAAAAATTTAAAATTATTGCCACTAGATGGAGCTGATGATCATAGGAAATACACATATTTAGACACAATATGGGGAATATTCGTGAAGGCTGTTTATGAATAGACTCCTTAAAAGTGAATTTATTTTTGTGATTGAAATTGGAGGAACAATTTTTATCTATCTATCTATCTATCTATCTATCTATCTATCTATCTATCTATCTATCTATCTATCTACCTACCTACCTACCTGTCTATCTATCTATCTATCTGTCTATCTATCTATCTATCTATCTATCTATCTATCTATCTATCTATCTATCTATCTATCTATCTATCATTCATAATACTAAAATAATAATACTAACAATACTACATACTACATTAATAATGCTAATAATAATGAACACTAAGAATATGGTGTATTGGCAGCACAGCACTTTGGGGAAGGAATTCACCTCTACTAAATGATCCTCATGAAGTATTGAATTGATCTCTCATGCATGAACAGGCTTACATTTCAGCCAGGTACTGTTTCACAACAAATATACTACTCCACCATCAGTTTGCACCATACGATGTGGCTTTACATTAAACTAATTTTCAGTTTCCAGGTCTTTATTAAAGCAGCATTAAGCCTAAAAGCCCCAAAAGCAAACATTTATTACACTGAAGCCTACCAATTCATAGACGTGTTGGCTGCATTAGTTTTCTTTGTTAGGCTTTCTTCTATTTTCACTTGGTAATCCAAGCATTAAGTTTGTTGTTTTTCAGAAGCACAAGCTCTCCAGTAGAATGTATCAGGTTACAGGGATGAGGCAGACCATTTACCACTGGGGGGGATTAAATTTTTTTAAATGATCAGCTTCCTCTTCTTCTCTAGTTTAGCTAGATACGATGTATTATTTTTGTGTGTCAGAGGCTTGTAAGAAGCCTGAGATAAGTCAGCCTTGGAGAGGTCACCTCAGACTGGGAGGCTGTACAGGTCAGGGCTTCTGGAACCCTCCCACTCCTCTAGAAACTTGCAGAACTTTCTAGAAGAGGGGTGGAGGAGGAGGCCTAGCATTGCATTTTTAAAGGAACTTGGCCATTCCCCAGGCAGGAGGTTGGGCATGGTGGCTAAGAGCATCCCTAAATTTGAGAGAACCTGTGCAGCAAGGAGGTTGAGTTGTGTTCAGGTGAAATATGGACTGAAGGAAGGTGCTTGAGTCTGAATCCTCGGAGGGGGCCCCAGGGAGGGGCCCTACCTACAGCCTGGTGCTGGATGAAAGGATCTCCACAGTATCACCGTCTCAAAGGAAGGAGCCAACCCAGCGTAAGGCCTGAAAGCAGCTAGCAACACACTAAGCTACAGGACAGGACAGTGTGAGTACTTCTACACCCCCTGGGCCAGAGAAGGGAGAGGATGGTCAGGTGCCATTCCAAACTTCTTAAAATTCTCATCCTGGACTACTTAACTTGGAATCCCTTGCCCAGGGATACCCTCAGGACAGCTGGGTGAAAGAGGAAGCATTCATCTGGGGTCTGAGGAGGTACACCAAAGGGGAGATCAGTTCTCCTTAAAGAGACAGTTGCTACTTTTTAGTCAACATTTTTATACAGTGCACAGTGTTTTGCTAAGAAGTTGTCCTCAGGTTTTACAGTTCATTGGGCACCCCATATACCCTTAACCACCTCCAGCCCGCCATATAAAAAATGACAGGAGGGCGGCTGTTCTCTCGTTCTGAGAGGACGTCATATGGCATCCTTCCACTTTAACTGCACATGCACGTCCCAGGGGGCGCGTGGCGTGGTGATCACTGGTACGCTGTGTCCCTGGGATACAGTGGATCACCGATCAGAGTAAAGAGCCGATGACGTCAGCTCTGTAAATAGGAAATATTGGTTATCGGCAGTCCTCACCTCACGCTGACATCTACACTGATCATCAGAGCACTGATCATCAGTGCCCTGATGATCAGTTTAGCCCCATCAGTGCCATCTGTCAGTGCCCATCAATGCCACATATCAGTGCCAATCAGCGCACATCAAGGCCACATACCAGTGCCCATCAGTGCACATCAATGCCATATATCAGTGTTTACCAATGTGCATCAATGCCACATATCAGTGCTCACCAGAGCTACCTTTCAGTGCCAACCATCAGTGTCAGTCAGTGCCGCCTATCAGAGCCAGTCAGTGTCATCTATCAATGCCGCCAATCAGTGCCACCTATCAGTGCCAGTCATTGTTACCTATGAGTGCCCATCAGTGTTGCCTATCAGTGCCCGTCAGTGCCGCCTAACAGTTCCAATCAGTGCCGCCTAACAGTGCCACCTATCAGTGTCCATCAGTGCTGCCTATCAGTGCCATATACTGTATGAGTGCTGCCTTTCAGTGCCCATCAGTAATGCCTGTTAATGTCCACAAGTGATGCCTGTCAATGCCCATCAGTGCCACCTATCAGTGCCTCCTCATCAGTGCCACCTATCAGTACCCATCACTGCAGCCTCATTAGTGCACAGCAGTGAAGGAGAAAAATTACTTACTTACAAAATTTTATAACAGAAACTAAGAATACATTTTTTTTTCAACATTTTCAGTCTTTTTAAGTTTGTTTAGCAAAAAATAAAAAAAACACAGTGGTGATTAAATACTACCAAAAGAAAGCTCTATCTGTCTAAAAAAAAAGTGATAACAATTTTGTTTGGGTACAGTGTTGTAATTCAAAGTGCAACAGTGCTGAAAGCTAAAAGTTGGCCTGGGCAGGAAAGGGTAAAAGTGCCCAGTAGGCAAGTGGTTAATAAAAACAACAGAAACAAGCTCAAGGACTGTTTTACTGACACTGCCTGGCCGTGCAGAACTTAGGGGGACCCATCAAAATTCAACGGACCTTAAGGGGATGAGCTACGTTCTTTTATTCTTGTAAAACCTAAAGGAAAAAAAAAACAGTTTGCTATAACTAATTATAAAGTGTGAGCTGGAGTTTGGCTTCAATTTGTTATTGTATTTAAATCTGCGGGTGTATTTAACACTACCCCCTGCCCCTGCTACTCACAATGCTGCTGTCTGCTATGCCTCCAGTGCTCATTCATCCAGAGTTGTGTCCCACTAATACAGGAGGTATGTTACTGGCCTGGTGAAAGAAACAGAGGGAAAAAAAAAAAAATAATAAACTAATGCAGCCACCACATCTAATGATTGGTCAGCTACAATATTTTAATTTTTTTGGTTTTGTGTATAATACCACTTTAAGTATGCCCCGCTATGGAATAACATGTATCAGATTGAGCTGAATGATCAGGATTATAAATAAAATCTGGTATTGCCTGTCTCTCTCCACTATACCCTGCTTACACACTCAAATCCTTCCAACAACCACAGAAAGACTTTTTACTCCCAAGAACTGTACCTCGGTTTACGAATTTAATGCGTTCTCCAGGGCGTTTCATATTGCGGAAATTCGGAAACCGAAATGCGGTTTCCCATAGGAATGCATTGAAAACCAATTAATCCATTCTAGAGGTCAGAAAAAAGTTAAAAAAAAAGTCTTTTATCTGCTCAAAACTTTTATAAAGTGCACTTTAAAGGCATAAATACTGTACAGGGACATGATTAAAAATTTACAGAATGGCTCCAAAACTCGATGCAAAAACCGCTCCAACACCTCCACACTCGATGCCATGTGCTGCCCACAGACGCAGTTCATCCTGGGGAAACTTGCTTCGTATTGCAAAAAAAAATTCATAAAAATTCATAAATGCATTGTCTTATGTGTTCAAAACTCTTTATAAAGTGCACTTTAAAGGCACAGGGCCGGCGCTATAAATCTCCCAGGCGCAATGCATCCTGGGGAAACTTTCTTCGTGTTTTGTAAACCGAGGCATTATTTTCAATGGATTTTCATTCGTAAACCGAAAATTACGTTAACCGAGGCATTCGTAAATCGAGGTACGCCTGTATTTGTTACTAAAACTGCACATGATTGGTGCAATAACAAGTACATTCATAGCTGAATGATTCAGAGGAGGGACCCACCCCCTTCATAGCTCACACCATTCTGTATGGCGTATCCTTTGGAGAAAAACTGTCCAAATCCTGTAATAAATGTTTATTTCTAATATTTGTTTATTGCAAATAATGAAAATTGTATATGAGATCAGTGTAAAAGCTTTCATTCAAAAAAGCAAATACAATTGACCAAAAGTCATATGGTTTTATTTCAAAGGGTCAAGTCCACTTTAAAATGAGCTGTCAAATAAATCATGTTTATTTTGTCTCTTACCCACTCCAGTCATTTGAAACTTTTGTAATTCCCAGCTTGGATTCCTCTGCCCTGGAGCTTCTCTTCACGTTTCAGGTAAGGAGAGTCTCACTTCACAATGTTAATGGCAAGAGGATGCAGCTTGGAACTCAGATGCTGAGATTGCTGTAATATCTATTTTGGATGGGCTGACACTTTACATTTAAGTTTAAAGTGTAACTCTACATTGTTTTGAATGACATAGGAAAGGATTGGGCCCTCTATCATTTTTTTGCTGTTTGTGTTCCCATTGGGGCGATTCATCACACTATTCTGATGACTGTTATCACTGAGACAGAAAGTGAGGTGACATCCTAAATTATACAGCTGTCCCCAGAACAAGAGTTAAGGGAAATATTCTTATGGGGACACTTGTTCCAGAGACAACTGTCTACGTGGAATTCCCTTCACCTTTGGAGATTCCCTTTTAATCTTCTGTTGTGTTCTTGGGACAGGAAATAAATGAAAATTTCTCCATTAGTCCACAATCAGAAAAACATTAACTCGTAGGGGTTTTAGCTCTTCCCTAATCTGTTCAGAACTAAACAAAATATTGGCTATACCTACACTTTGACAATGTATTCAGAATTATGAGAATTCCATTTGCAGGCTGGTATTTTCAGGGCTTTGCTAGGCCACTGATAGAGATCACTTTTTAAAGGAAAAAAAGTTTACAGGGCAGGGATATTAACCATACTGTAGGACAGAAATATCCAAACTACAACCCCCATCCAGCCCACTCCAAGTGTTTATCCAGCTGCCAACTAGGGTTAGTGGTGCACAGAGGGTTATGGTCTGGATAGGCTGCCTATGGTTTACATGGTGTCATTGATGTAAGGGGGACTCTGATGGGGACTCTTATATTAGAGGAACTATGATGGGGAGCCTGATGGGGGCATTGATGTAAGGAGGACTGTTGGAAGGTGCAGCATGGTGCAGTAAACACACAGAGGCCCGGGATGCAGAAACCAATGTATTGCAGAACTAGTAAACAATACAACAGCCCGGTGGGGGAAAGTAACCAGACTGAGAACTTCCAGCAACTGGAGCAGAGAGTCGGTGATGAGTATGATTGAACTGAAGACAGTGCCTGTCAAGGAGAGCAGAGTGCGGCTTGACTGGTCCAACCCAAAGTGGAGTGTTATCCCTGCCACTAGTGCTGTCCCTACACTAGGCACTTTGCTACTGTGCACCAAAACCTGGGGGCAGGGACTATAAAAAAAAACATGTTTCTCTTGACATCCCCCTCTAGCTACATTACCATTCTGGACTAGAGCCAACTGCAGTGGATAATGTAGACTGCACCTGCCTACAAGGAATTTGATGGAAACTCTGATGTAAAGGGGACTCTAATGGGGACCCTTATGTAAGGGGGGACTTTGATGGGGACTTTAATGTAAGCAGGGATTTTTTCCAGCCCACAAATATTCATAAAATATAAGATGTGGCCCTTGTACTGAAAAGTTGGATACCCCTACTGTAGGATAAACAAAGGCAACCTGTGGTTTTGCCATTATTAAGGAATACAGGATGCCTAGGTTGCCAAAAACCCACTGATGAACTAATCTGGATATAAAACCAGTGGATCAGTCTCAGTATTATGGCATCAACTACACTACAGTGTCAGCAAGCATAAGGAGCTTATGGTCTTCCAGATACTAAGCAACTGAGAGGCTCAGCTCTTCCCAGTACCAAGCCAGGAGATGTCTGACTTATTATTGAATGAGGAACTCACTCAGTAGTGTGGTGATTCTCTTTTCACTATCCAGTCAAAGGCTGGGAGAAGGACAAGACTTATGTAGTATCCCTGACCCCCAAAAGCAACTGGGACCCTCGGGGACAGGTCAGACTAGCATTCCACCTCAGGTTGCATCCCTTGGCGATAGTGGAATAATACAGGTGAAACTCAAAAAGTTCATTTATTTCAGTAATGCAACTTAAAAAGTGAAACTAACATATGAGATAGACTCATTACATGCAAAGCAAGATAGTTCAAGCTGTGATTTGTCATAATTGTGAGGATTATGGGCTTACAGCTCATGAAAACCCCAAATCCACAATCTCAGAAAATTAGAATATTGTGAAAAGGTGCAATATTCTAGGCTCAAAGTGTCCCACTCTAATCAGCTAATTAAGCCATAACACTTGAAAAGGGTTCCTGAGCCTTTAAATGGTCTCTCAGTCTGGTTCAGTAGGAATCACAATCATGGGAAAGACTGCTGACCTGACAGTTGTGCAGAAAACCATCATTGACACACTCCATAAGGAGGGAAAGCCTCAAAAGGTAATTGCAAAAGAAGTTGGAAGTTCCCAAAATGCTGTATCAAAGCACATTAATAGAAAGTTATGTGGAAGGGAAAAGTGTGGAAGAAAAAGGTGCACAAGTAGCAGGGATGACCGCAGCCTGGAGAGGATTGTCAGGAAAAGGCCATTCAAAAGTGTTGGGGACTTTCACAAGGAGTGGACTGAGGCTGGACCCAGAGTATGGAGGAAGAATGGAGAGGCACACACTGCAAGATGCTTGAAGTCCAGTGTGAAGTTTCCACAGTCTGTTGATTTGGGGAGCCATGTCATCTGCTGGTGTTGGTCCACTGTACTTCATTAAGTCCAGGGTCAACGAAGCCGTCTACCAGGAGATTTTGGAGCACTTCATGCTTCCTTCCGCAGACAAGTTTTATGCGGATGCTGACTTCATTTTCCAGCAGGACTTGACACCTGCCCACACTGCCAAAAGCACCAAAACCTCGTTCAATGACCGTGGGATTACTGTGCTTGATTGGCCAGCAAACTCACCTGACCTGAACCCCATAGAGAATCTATGTGGCATTGCCAAGAGAAAGATGAGAGACATGAGACCGAACAATGCAGAAAAGCTGAAGGCCGCTATTGAAGCATCCTGGTCTTCCATAACACCTCAGCAGTGCCACAGGCTGATAGCTTCCATGCCACGCCGCATTGAGGCAGTAATTGCTGCAAAAGGGGCCCAAACCAAGTACTAAGTACATATGCATGCTTATACTTTTCAGAGGTCCGATATTGTTCTATGTACAATCCTTGTTTTACTGATTGCATGTAATATTCTAATTTTCTGAGATTGTGGATTTGGGGTTTTCATGAGCTGTAAGCCATAATCATCACAATTATGACAAATCACGGCTTGAACTATCTTGCTTTGCATGTAATGAGTCTATCTCATATATTAGTTTCACCTTTTAAGTTGCATTACTGAAATAAATGAACTTTTGCACGATATTCTAATTTT